GAGAGAGAGAGAGAGAGGGTTGTTCATTCAAAGGAAAAATGAATTTAAGTTTTTTAAATGATAGCATATAATCCAATAATTTTTTTACTCTTTTAAAACAATTAAAATACAATTCCATCATTTATCACCCCCTTTCCCCTTTCACTCCTCTTATGTCTGACTCAGCCCCCTCCCAAATTCACTGCCTGTTCCTCTTTACCCATTGCTGTTACAAATACAAATGAATAAATACATAAATGCGACCTGCTGAGTCCATTCAGTGTTGCCTCAATTTATAGAGAGGTATGAGCTAAGAAAACCTTTAAAAATCATTATGTTGGGCTGGCAAGATGGCTCAGTGGGTAGAGACACTTACCAACAGGCCTGAGAGTAATCCCTGGGAGCCACAGGTGGAAGGAGGGAAATGACTCCTACAACTTGTCCAATGACTAGCCCCTGTCCTCCAAAATGTTAAAAACCTTTTAAAAAGTCCTTGTGTTCACATTCCAGTTCTCATAAGCAAAACTACAACCCTAGGGTTATTTATCAGTTTAAAAAAAAAAAAAAAAACACTGACAGAAAAAAGGCTCCAGAAATTTCAAAACTGGTATCCTAGATTTGCATCACTTTTATAATCAGAAAAACAAAAATTCTTAAAAAATATATCAAATCTCTGCAAATAAAATCTGCCTAAATAGCGTCATTTCAAGTCGCTGGTCTGCACCCCACTGTTACTCACTTTTCTCTGTTGAAAATTATAAATTCCTTCTGGACAGCATCGAGGTGCTCTTGAAGAAGGCATGTCTTCAAGGCGAACATAGCAAAGAAACAGAGGCATGCTTAGCTGGCACACAGGAACCCCAAATAGCCAACAACCTATATTCACCGAGCAACCTGGGTCGAAGCAGTCCTGTTTCCAGATGGGGAACAGATTCTGGGAGCATGGCAGGAGAGGAATCCCTCTACCAGGGCCATTGTTCTATCAGAACTAGGTACAGTGATTTTGGAATTCTGGAATATATATATATACATATACACACACACACACACACACACACACACACACACACACACACACACATATATATATATATAAACACTTTCAACTTCCATCGGAAAGTTATTACACTAGTAATAACAGGTTGGTTACAATTTCACCACTAATGCAGCAGTGGTTAACCCACCCTATGTGCCCCTGTCAGGGAGTCCTGTACATGCACCTTCAGCTGCCTGTACCGCAGCTTTCAAAACACATGATGGGAAACTACGATGACGTCCTTGAAATCCTGGGGCCCTGTGTTCTGCTTGCTGCTGGTCATCAAGGAGGGGCAGACAGCCTAGGGGCCATGGGAGTGGTGCCTCCCTCATCACATAAGATAAACGCAGGCTTCTGAGATGACCTCCCCATGGCGGCAGCTCTGGGATGAACTGCACTTCCCTGAGCTTGTGGGGTGGGGGTGGGGCACCTACCTGAGAGGAGTCACATTTTCTCATCTCCTTCTCCTTTTTTGCGAGGCGCTTCTTTTTCTTGTGAAGAGGTTTGGACTCCAGAATCATTTCTTCCAGTTCAAAAGTGGGGTCACAGTTGAGCCTGCCTTTCTGTAAAGAAGAAAGCATGACTCAGTCCTCAGATCCTTGCATCGTTCCTAAAACAGCCTAACGCAGAGATCAATACCTAGTCCTAACGGGAGCAGTCCAAGCTTAATAACTTGGGTCCCACTGAGGTTTTATAGCCTTTCCTGCCACTATTTGTCTTTAATATTCTTTGATTGTATAGCTTGTTTATTTTTTACAAACTTCTAGCTATCCCTCAGTGAGTAATGAAGGAGACCATATTAAAATAATACTTCTAAGGTTTGAGCTTCTGGGTTTCTCAGTTTGTTCCAATAACTGCATAGACCAGAATCATGGCCATTGCTTGTTCAGCTTCCAAGGTCACCAACCAAATTTCAACATCAGGATTTCAGAACATAAGGCCAAGAATTTGCCACTTGGTAAGTTCTCCAAATGAGTCAGATTCACAGACAGACCCAAGATCTATATGGTGGCACTTCTCCCAGGAGTCAGGAGTGGCTAACAGAAGGAAGTTTGTATGGCTCCCCCATAGTCCTGCATCAGCCGTGCACACAAGTACAAACCTCTTCCCACTTTCCTGTCACTCACTTAGGTAGACACTTAGACCCTGGAATGTCACCACACCGCTCTCTCCTTCCTTCCACAGGGCTTTCATTTGACACACTAATTGGCACCTTATCCAGCTGTTCACTGAAACATCCATGTGGCCATGTCCCCAGAAGAAGTGTCTCGCTTGGACTTGAACAGAAAACTCAAGTCTCCACAGGAGCTCATCATTCTTGCCAGTGTTCCTTGTCCAGTGGTATAACACAAATCCCAGGCAGAGGAGAGAGGAGCCTCAGTAGGGCCCTCACCTAAGTTTTATCCAGCAGTGTGCAGTGGGACACAATGTCCCTTGTTTGGGTACTCGATCAGTACAATAAAACTTAGAAAAGAAAAGGAATGATTCTGGGGTTGAAGTTTCCCACTGACCAACTCACAGATTTCTGTGGACATCAAAGATCACTTTCTTGCAAGAAGGAAAAAAAAGTATTGTTCTTTTCAACCAGCATATTTCTGGAGATAACTATTTGGGAGACTAGAACCTCTTACAGCACAAAACATGGTTAAAACCTAGAAGCCCAGACATCAACATCCCTAGATTAGAATCCCAGTTTAGCTTCTTGCCGGTTGTGTGATTTTTAGTCGCCAACCTACCCCCTGTATCTCTCTGTTTTCTCCTCTGTGTTGGGACATTTTCACAGTACTGGTGTCATCACCAAATGAGACCCTGGATAGACTTGGAATGTGGATGGAGTGTGGGAACTCTTAGGACTCATTAAGCTTGACTTACAGTTGGAACGAAGCTGGGGACGAGCCTCTTCTGCAGCACTGCATCCCAGTTCATGTCACTCATGTAAGGGAAATTCTGAATGTCAGTCAAGTGAGAGAACCGGTGGTCTGGATTAGGTTCAAGTAGCTGTCGATGAAAGACAAGCACCGTTGTCACAAAGAAGGCCAGATAGGTGGGCCCCCAAAATTCCCCCTAAGTGTTCTCAACCGAGTATCCAAGGGGAGTTCCTTGTATCAGAAATCAAGCAAGTGGTTTGAGAAGACAGTGATGCCCTGCTCCTCCCCCATGTGCAAATCAAGTGGGGAATGCATGCTTTGGAATAACAGTAGAAGTAAAGTTTGCAACATGACAGGGACAAATGGCTTGTCCTGGGAATTAAACAAAACTTCCCTTCCTGGCTCTCCTACTGGGCAAGTTTGTTCCCTAACCCTTGGCTTGCCAAGTTCAAGTCACGGGAAACAGTACAAAGTGAACATCGCTTTACACAGCTAAGCCCTGAAGCTGTGTTTTTCAAATGATGCGAAATGGCACGCAATTCTTCTTTTCTTTGTATTGTTTCTTCAATTTATGACCCATTCAAGCCCATATGTGGTCTCACTGTACCTGGCTCACATGCAACTCCAGACCATGCACAGCATATGACTTCAATTCAACAGCAGCCAAACAAGCTCATTCACTACCCAAGGAGACACATGCATTGACCAGGTGACAGTGTAGTATTGACAGAGCAGTGTCAATATGCTTCTCCTGGTTTCTATACTTACAAGGGAGTTGTAGAAAGCAAAATAAGGACCCTTGTCAGTCAGAAAATCACACTAAGTTGTATTGATCTCAGGGAAGGTGCTAGAAGAGCTAAGGTGTGAAGCAGTGACCCAGGTGGAGAGGGTGTCATGTGTAAAACCTAGTGGTGATGTGTTGGTGAGGAATGGGAGGAGAAGGCAAATCAGCCAAACCAACCAAAGGGTGACCAAAACTCTCAAAGTTTGAGAGGTTGTTTATAACCATTGTAATGCACAATTTGGTTTGATCTTTTTTCAAAGACCAATGAGAAGTTGCTGAAATACGGGAAAGGGAAGGGAAGAGAGGGGAGTGGCAGAAGCATGCGACACATCAGAAAGGACTTGATGGCAGCTGGATTGGAGAAATGCCAAGGAGTTGAAAGGCGGTGAAGGTGACAATGGCTATTGAAAGGATAAATTTAGGATCAGGCGGTGGACTAGATATGAGAATGATGAGTGAGCCCTGGTGAAAGGACCAGCCATTGGGAGGGAGGACACGGGAAGAGACCCAAGAAATACAGAAAGATTAAGAATTATATATCAGACTGTGAATTTGAGAAGGCCTTGAGACATGCAAAGACATGATAAGAAAGCCATGTATTTGAAAATGGTTAGTCACAGCAGCCATTCGACAAATGTGTGTTATCCTGAGCACATCTTGACTTCTAACCACAAACCGGGATGTACACTTCCTTTCTTGACTTCCTTCCAACATGCTTCCTCCTGTCTCACCTTTTTAAGAAGGGATACCATCTCTTGTGACCAAGCAGAAGGGTACGTTACAATTGCCGTCTCAAACATGTTCACAATTTCCTTGCTGGAAGTACTGGAGCGGATATGATATGGTCTCTTAAGGGAGAAAAAGAGAAAGAGCCTTCATTTTTACAAGTCAAAGGGGGAAAAAAAAAGCCTGCAAGTATTTATGAGGTAAACTTTGAAATAATAAAACCTCAATAAGAACCCCTTCAAGATGATTGACAGGTAGCCATATAGGGTACATGGTCAAGGGTTGTCAGAATTACTACGGGTTTTTGAAAGAAATGTCATGGACTTTAGTTTTTCATCAAAATATCCTAAGTTTTAAGAACTTGTTATTTTACAGATCCAAACAAAATATTTCAGTGGATTGAACCAGTCTCTGATGCACTGATTTCAAACTGTTTTGTTCATAACTTTCAGGTGTATTTATATAAAAAGTGAATAATGAAGAGAAAAACTTCAAATTATTATAGAAGGTTGATTACAAACGGATCCATAATTTTCCTATAGCTTTATGTGAAATACAACGAAAACTAGGTGTTATGGTGTGTGTTTGTAATCCCAGCACTTGGGAGGTAGAGGTAGGAGGATCAGGAGGTTAAGACTGGCCTCAGCTACATAACAAGTTCAAAGCCAGCCTGGGCTATGTGAGAGAGTAGCTTTTAAACAAAGAAACAAAAAACAAAAATGTAAAAACTAAACATAACGAGAAAGTTAAGGATAGGAAATATCAACTCCAGTGTCTAATACTCTGCTTCCATGAAGTATGTAGTGGAGAATTTTATGCTGGGCTAAAGGGTTAAATAAACAAATAAACAAATAGCAACAACAACAACAACAAAACTTTTCTAGAACAGTCATGGTCATCTATGGCTTTAGTGTGAATAACAGAAATTAAAAACCAAAAAGAAATTCATATGAAAATCTCATTTGGAAACGTGTTGCTTTCTAATCTATTCTGAAAATTAAAAAATAAATAAATAAAATGTTTTTTTAAAATAAAAGACAAGCTAATGATGATTTTACATCTGTCCACTAGAGGGCAGACGTTATGGGCACTAACCTCTCTGCTGGGCTTTCCTGTCTTCTAGGGAAACTGTAAGCAACTTAAGAGCCAGACAAAATTTCCACATTAGATTAATCACAGGACACTAATGTGTGTGTACACATTTATCACATGACTGACCTTTTCCAGATGTTTAAGTAATCACTGACAGATGAACTAATTTGGAGGAAAAGGAAGTGTTTGTTTTTCCCAGTAGTCAATTAAAAGGTTTTATAATGCAATCATGGGTTAGAGCTTCGAGGTCAGAAGGCTTTGAATGCTAAACCAGGTCATTCATTTTCTGACCCTCAGTTCCTTCATGTACAAGATGGAGCTACTTTATCAGCAAAATGAACCACTGCCCAAAGGTTGCTGGGGGAAACGGGAGGAGATAATACAGGGAAAGTTCTCTGTGGAGTGACTGGTGGCTCGCTGAAAACACGATGGGATATATGTCAAACAACCTGAACGTGTGCTGTCAGTAAAGAGGGAGAATATATGACTAACGGGCGTGCAGGAAGGGAAAGGGTTAGATGGGAGTAAATGGTGTTTTGTGATTGTGTTTCAAGAGTACAGAATGAGAAAGGGTCCGTGGAGAGACAGCACAAGCGTTCCATCCCATCCCAGAAATCAGGAAGCACAGGCAGGAGGATGGTGAGCTTGGATTTAGCCTGGGCTGCGCCATGATTCTGTCTCCCAAACAAAACACAAAGAGCTGCAGCTATGGGACAGCCAACACTACAGGGGGAGCTCTCTGGAGTACTGTTTACTGTTAATACAAAAGTGTAAAAGACATGGAGGTACTTTGGCCTTCTGATGACTGAGACTGGGGGATGACAACAGGTTAATGTTTAAGGTCCAATCCACCCAAAGTGCAACTAGGCTCAGAGGGGCTCTTAAAGCACATTTTCTCATTCTTTTATTTTTTTCTATAGATAAGAGTGTGCAAATTAGCACGAAGTTATTGCTCCACACACCTCCTCTGTGGTTTGGTTATAATGATATTTGTAATTAAATGTTGCTATTTTATTTTCCTCTGATTAACTGTATTTTTTCAGCATAATCACATGCCATCTTTTAGTGATTCCTTCCTAGAATGTGCCAAAATTGATGTATAGTGCTTTGTCCCTCCTCTCATTTAATATGACATGCGTTGATGAAAAGCTACACAGTGTGGATGATATTAAACTATGTAAGCTATATATTCCATTTTTAAAATGAATCAATAGTCTGATCACATGGAACAGAAAACACAAAAATTGATATGCCTGGAAATATTTGTAAGCTAATATATTTACAAAATAGAGTTAGTTGTGAAAATAAAATACACTGTTATTATCATATAGAAAGTTATATATTTGTACATATATATACATATATGTCTCAGCAGGAAGTTAAAGCATGATTTGTTTTTGTTGAAATTACTAAGTGTTTCTACCTATTAATATTTGAAGAGGGTTTATTCACATGAAAACAGAAAGATTTGGAAGTGACAACAAAATACTAGGGTTTTGTTTTATTTTGTTTCGTTTTGTCTGTTTGCTGGTGTAGATTTTGTTTTTGTTTGTTTTAATTTTCTATTTAAATTTTTTGAGTTACATAACTTCCCCCCCTCCATTTTCTCCCTCCAAACCCTCCCACATATTCCTCGCTGCCAGCATAATCCCTAAATATTTATCTTCATACCTACAGCTAAGTATCGTTCTCTCACCCCTCATCAAGGAAGTTTTTCTTTGCAACAGATGGAGACCATTACAGAAAACTACAACCTATCAAAATGCAGAGTTGTGGAGTCCATTCCCAACAGATATATCTACAACACAACTCCTGCACCTAAAGACCTAAAGATCATCTATGAAAGAGGCATGGCTCCACCTGGTGACTTAGGGTAAAACGCAGAAGAAGAGGGGTGAATTACAGATGAAAATGATTGAGCCACAAAGAGGCAGAAACTGAAAACTTGCATGTTTGGACTGTATTCACAGTAGAAAATAATGCAAACAAAACAAAACAAAAAAGCAGGAGAAAAAAAAATTAAAAAGGATAAAATAGAAGCTCCCGGGGTGGGGGGTGGGGTGGGGAGGGCTATTCTGAAGAGAACATGACAGATAAGGCTGGACAACTAATTGATGGGGAAATGCTGCTTGTGAGCCACGGGCTTACAAGAAAAGCCAGAGGTGCAGGTGGGATTATGCCAGCAGAGAGAGCGTTTGTTTGAGTTAAAGCATAAAGATAGAGGGCTGCAATGAAGGAGAGGTGTCAGACAAATCAACATCCTCTGTCCCATCTTCATGGTCAAAGGGAACGAGTTGGACTCTTTTGCTTTGAACTTGGTACCCCTTCCTGCTTTCTTATTTGTCTCCTCTTGGGGGGGGGGTGTCTAACATATGTCTGTGCCCATCATTCTATTTTGGAAGCACACGATTTGTCTGACTTTACAGGCTCCCAGCGAGATGAGAATTCTGCCTCAGGATGAAACATGCCCTGAGTCCCATCCACACTGGATTTGGATGACATTCAGATGATGCTCGGGACTCTAGAGATGATGCTGGAGGGAGAAATGGCTATTGCTAATGGAATATACTGAGTGTATTTTACATGTGAAGAGAAGGTGGGTTTTGGAGATCCAAGAGAGAGAAACACCAGGGTGTGGATGTGTCCCTCACACACAGTCTTATGTTGGAGCTCTAACCCTCATTGAGATGGTATTTGAAGACAGGAACTATGGCAGACAGTTTGAGACAGAATATATCCTGAGGGAAGAACCTGACAGATTAAGAAGATTAAAAGACACCCCCCCCCCAATCTGTTCTTTGCCTTCATATCCTCTCTGCATCCTTACCCTCTTCCCCCTCTTTCCCTCCCATCCCCCTTCCTGTTTCTGTGTTGAAGGACACCAGAACCCAGCATTGCTGACTCTCTTACCTGGACTTCCAGCCTCTACCAGCTGTAAGAAAATAAATATTCTAAGTTACCCAGTTCACAGGAGGCTATTTTGTGTGTAGGCTGGGCTAACTATGATGAACCTTTGAGAGATATCTGAATTCTGCATTACTTTGTAAAAACTGTATAAAATATCATTTTTATTATATTTCTTTGATCTTTTTTTCTAGAGAAGAGTTTCTTGTGTGAGAAATGTTTCCATCGACAAGGACTCTACTCCAGTTTGCCAGGGACTCATACCTAGCAGCCACGCCGGACGGGGGACAAACAAGCAGTGCACAATTTGTCTGGTGCCAACCTTCACTCTTTTTTTTTTTTTTGAGAGGTGTATCTGAATTAGAGCTGTGCTGAGTGATCGCAAAATGATTTTCTTTAAACATGCACGTATATTTACCCAAGATAGTGAGGTGTATTGATTTCCCTTCACTGGGAGTTTCTGATATCCATATTATTAATTTATCTATGTAATTAACATTAACTGACAGATTGGGTGACACATATAGGACACTGGATTAATCTGTGCAGAGGTCTCAAGGGGTATTATTAATACCAGACAGTGTAGGTGTTTTCTGATTTCAAGTAAATTGCTGCTTGGTTCTTAGCAAATACTGCATTCTTTCATTCAGAAACAGAATCTGAAGGGGCTAGGAAGATGGATTAGTGGTTAGGAAACTGGCAGCTTTCGAAGGGCCTGAGTTTGGTTCCAGGCACCCACATTAGGTGGGTTACAGGTGCCTGTAACTCCAGTTTCAGGGGATCCAATGCCCTCTCCTGGCCTCTGTGGGCACTGCACACATGTGGGGTACATATACACACTTGGGCACACATACATACACATAAAGAAACAGATCTTGAAAGCATGTTTTCTAGAATAATAAGAAATGAGAATGTGTGGTTTGACTGTACCCGGCCTCTCAACAGTTCATAAGCTGTCACCCCCAGGGACCACCAGTCGACAGCAAAGGAGTACCCGGTTTCCTTCCTGGAGCTGAACATCTCAGGTGCTGCAAAACACAGAAAAGGTCAGTTTCACTCCCCATGACTCCAATCAATCTGTTTTCCCAACACATTCCTCCGAAGAAGAATTAGCAGCCTGAAAGGTGTGAACTCTTTCAGCGATGTTTATTATTCATTGGTAGATTGCTCACAGCAGGCAACATTTTCTAATTTTTTAGCTCTCTCAGCACTCCCATTCATCAGCTAACACAAACAGATACACGTAGACCTTAATGGACAAATTCTTCTCTTATTTAGAGCCAATTACTCTGTAGGTCCTATTGGGCCCCAATTGAGCCACTAACTCTGAGACAAAGAAAGCTGAGGGGTAGGGAGGGGTGTGTGTCTTGATCTGGAAAGTCTACACTAAAGGGGCTGAAATATCTGGCAATCTCAAACAATATGTAAGAGTTGTACAAGACACATATTGGCTTGGGGATGCCTGGCAGCATCAGGGGAGGTGAATGCAGCCTCCTATTGTGTGTGAGAGCAGGAGAAAAGGAGAGAGGTCACTCATGGGAAGTATAACACTTTGCAATAACCATGGGACATTTATAACTATAGTTCTCTGAATTGACTCTACTGGAAAGCGGTCACCATCAATTGAACCTTCAGAGATGACCCCTCGGGCTTTCTTTAAGCACTTTGTTACACCTTTCCAAGACTATACTTGCAACCTAAAAGTTAGAACAGGGGACATGAAGTACAAAGGATGGACAGGTATGGTGCTGTTGCTCACCAGTACATACACAGTGTCTACTACAGAACCTGGCACTCAGAGTTGGTAGATAGAAACTTATCACACAGAGGAATGAACACTGAAACCACCAGACTTGTGGTTTCATTATCTCTCTAGTTGTGCTGGGATCAAATGCTGCCTCAACCACTTACGGTGCCCATGAGCAAATCAGTTGGCACCGCATAATTCCTGCCCCCCAGCAAAATCAGAATACCAAAAAGACTTCTTTATCAGTTTAGAAACCAAATGAATTAATGCATGTCTAAATGTCAACATAGTGTCTAGTATTTGCAAACAAACAAACAAGCAAAAGAAACAAAAGCAGATGTCCATAACAAATGAGGAATTTATCTAGTTCAAAGGTGCATAGAGTTGACGCCAAGCCTCTTGTAGTGAGTTACTGGGCAAAGGAAATCCTGAAGACATAGCTTCTTTATTCAAGCCTGCTTACCTGTGCACTTCAATTCTAACTAAATTTCTGTGGACAGCTTCCCATTACAAGGGTAGAATATCGACATCCCGATGCTCAGGACTGACTCTAAGAGCTTTGTGCTGGAGGACTAAGTGGGTCTCATGCCCTGGTGAATTCATGTTTCATGCATCACTGTGTCCATTCTTCAAGTTCCAAGTCCCAGTGCAACTGGGGAGATAATGGCCCTGACCCTACAGTGCTCCTGCACCCCTGGATACAATGGACTGTATTTTCTCATTCCTTCTTCAATATTGTGCCACAAATCATCTCCAAGGCGACAGGTGGCAAACATTCCACTTAGAAGACACCCAGACCATTTGGAACCATGGCAGAGACACTGTTGTTAGGAAATACCAAACAAAGTAAATATTACACTATCAAAACAGTGTGCTCTCTCATATCAAAGCATCCTTGGAGGAGGTGTGACTATTCTTTTTTTTTTTTTTTTTTAAGACAGGGTTTCTCTGTGTAGTTTTGGTGCCTGTCTTGGATCTCGCTCTGTAGACCAGGCTGGCCTCAAACTCACAGAGATCCACCTGGCTCTGCCTCCCAAATCCTGGGATTAAAGGTGTGTGCCACCACCGCCCAGCGTGACTATTCTTTTTGATATTCCGCAGTACAAGTAGATGTCTACCTTTGGTCTGCTATTTGCTCTGTTTTCAAACATGGAGCCATTTGTGTATGCATTCCTTCACTAAACAAGGCTTCACGGTGTGCTAAGCCCCGAGAAAATGTGATGGGGGTTTGAGAACAAAAACCATGACAACATACAGAAGCGCAGTGACCCTTTAGGCCCTCACACAGGCAGACAGTGATGGGAGAGGCTGAGGGGCTTTCTCTGATTCTTTGGGAAGATCCCCTGCTCCCGAGAGGAGCCAAACAGAACTGGAAAGGCATCACTTTCCCTCCAATTAGACAGGAGGTCTTTTGTGTGGAACTTTTTTTTCTTTTTTAAAGAGTTTTTCAATATACACATCTAGAAAGCATCTGAAACACAAGAGAAGGGAACAAGTACGTAGAGGCCAAGAGGCCAGGGCCCCTGTGGCCATCATGCACGATCTTGCTCCCACCACAGCACCTGTCCTGTCCACTGTGCCTAGAACTCACCATCCTGAAGTTTAATTGAACAATGCTGTTTTTTTATATTAACATATACATTTCTAAAGACCAGTTTAATTTTGCCTGTATTATATATACTTCCTCGGGGCTATGAATTAATGGACTGGGGGAGTAGCTAGCAGCATAACTGTTTACTTAATTTGCTTCAAGAAATTACAATAAAGGAAACATTAACGAAGTAAAAAATGGAAAAAAAGGTGAAGGAAAACATCCTTATAGTCTATCAAGTCCTTTTAAATGAAATGCTAGTCTCTGTAGTCATTTGTGTCTTGATTCTTTAGCTCAATAATATTTGCTCATGATTTATCCAAATTACCAGGCAATTTGGTTTGTTTGAATTTAGTTCTACATGAGTACATGGTGATTTACATACCTGCCCTATTATGGATAGCTGTTGGAGTTATTTTCAATTTGGGAGTATTGCAAACAGTGCTGTTTGGACCACTGCTGTGCTGCTGTGATCCTGTATCATTAGTGATGCTGTCAGGAGGGGACATGCTGGAGATGGGGGTGTGGATTTCATACACCTAGATAAGGCCAAAATACCCAACTAAGGGCTGTGCAGTTCACACCAAGGCCAGCAGTCGAAGTTCCTTTTGCTCAACACTCTTTTCCACACTTTGGATTTTTACTGATTTGTTGCATGTGCCATTTTATTTCATTGCAATTTAAAATGAATTTCCACTGATTACTAACATGCTTGCTACAATTTCCATGTTTAACTGGGTATTTGAGGATGATCATTTGGTGTTTAGAGTTTAAAAACCAAGACACTCGGTTTTTGTCAGGATGTAAGGAAAAGGTCTCCCAAATAATTCTATAATATAATGAAAATAACTCACAAGATTTAACAGAAATTACCTCAAATCTTATCCTTTAGTAAACTGTGAAAATGATGAGTTTTGGAAAAAGAACATAAACCCTTATAGCCCATACATTAACCTACATTATAAAGCTATGACAATTAATACTGAAAACCCCAGAGTACAGATATTAGTATATAAAGTTACTTAAATGATGATTAATGATTTTCAAATCGGCATGGGAGGGCTGTAATTTCAAACAGAATTTCCAAATAATTACTTAATAACCTAACAAAAATAAAGTAAGATTCTTACTAAATGTATGTTCAGTGAAAGTAGTGTAGAAATGATATTAAGTAAAAATGAATAGAATAAATAAAGTCTTAGCTAAACTTATCTAAGATGTGGAATAAGAAGATCTAGCTAACAATAGCATCCATGACAAAAACCCTGAATAAGTCCACAAGCAAACCTGAGAGACAGGACATGTGTTCCACATGTGCCAGGCCCTGGGCATGAGTCCTAGCCCTCCACACAAATATGAGTAGTTTGATCATATTAACAGGAAGTTCAGTACACATGCGCGCAATCCCATCAGTCCGGAGACAAAGCAAGGAGACTGCTGCACGTTT